CTAAGTTCACAGGAATGCGAGAAAAAATCATAAATCATCATCATCCCACCTTTCCGAAAGAGACTTTCATTTTCTTCAGAAGCACTGTGAACGACGTGTAATGCAGGAGGTTTTCCTTAGGGATGCCTTTGGAGAGACTGCATATCATCAGCTGATGGAGCTCCTTCGCGTTGTATCCTTGAACGTAGATCATCTTAGTAGAGCAGGGTGAATGCTGTCCGTGCCATCGCAGAAAGTTAGTCATCCAGGCCTCTGCAACTTCCACTTTGGGGGAAGTCCTGATGCGTTTGGGAACTGCAGACTTCTTCCTTCTCCGAAGCTTTTCCCATTGTTCCTTAGGGAGAGAAAATAAATTCATGAAGCAATCTATGCAAAGACTAGCTCCTTTGTAAGACACAGTCTGTCGATGGCATGATGAATTTTCTTGAATCAAAGGAGCCAAGAATGTCTCCTTTTCCTTGGCCGACATCTCCTCCATTTCGCATTCTGTGTCTAGTAGGTCTCTCGTTGCCATCATCCCAATGCAGCATTCGAAGCGGTAATCACTCCTCATCCTTCGACTCTTCTTTGGCGTCGATTGGTCTACAGGCCCAGTCATCGAACCTTAAGGGGAATGTTTTCGAATTTCATATTCTGTCTGATTTCTAAAAAATATCACATCTTTCCATATAACAAATAATATGCCAACCGGCAAAAAAATCTGAGTGGTGGAGGCAAGGTTACGAATCCCTAGCCCCCAAAACAGTCTAATGCTTATTTGCACCTATCTCACAGATTCCATATGACCTTGTCACAATCCCCATCTCGCTAAGACATGAATCCGATCAGGAAGGACAGATAGATAGATAGGGATTCCAGACAATTTTCTCGTCCTCAGCTAGGGATACCCCACCGCTCGGGTTTCTTCTTTTGGTCTTGAATGGGATGCTCATGTTTAATTTTTAAAAAATAGGGCCTAAACCAATGGATTCGGGATGTCCCATGCTACAACTGCTCCAGGAGCCTCATTTATCGATTTTATTAATTCATGATGCTTCGACCCTTGCAGTATTCATGGCAATACGGTATTGATGATAAATTTGAGAATGCACGTGATAGTGGCCTTGTGTTTCATCGGTCTAAAGAGTAGCAAATTTCCTTTTTAATAGAATTTACTCATGCAGAATGCTGAATACAGGCCGCGAAATTACAGTAACAAGTTTCACCCACCCATCTACAAATCACCAGCCACAGTGGGATAGAGCAGGGATATGCAATCCACGACCCGTGGAGCTGCTTCTTGCTGCCCAGTAATGGGCAATGGAATAACAAATAAAAGAATTTCCTTAGTGGCCCAAGGCCCATCACAACTTTGATCATCATTCAGTAACTATAAATAAATAGTTTGTCCTTTCACCTCTTTACCCTGATTATTGCTCACGCTGACGCTGGTGGAAATGGCCCGAAGAAGGAAGCTCTCAATGAAAAGGGCGTTGGAATTTCCTGAGAGCGGGGGAAAGGTGAGGGTTGTCTGTCAATAACCCAATTCAGGCACGACCCAGGAAATTCCCGTGAATTAATGGTGTCTGAACGGCACAGCCAGCCGCTGAGACCTAGCAAAAACTGGACCAGCGAATAGGTGGGTTTTTTTTTCCCAGGATGATGGAAAACTACTAGTCATGGCTTTCATGCATTCCCAGGTTCCCTCTTATTTTCAACTTTTTGGAGTGAGCAAGTACATATTTTATGATGGCGGGCGTATGAAATGATGACATGCAACACTTAATTTAAATTTGGAATGAAGAGCAAATTCGGAATATGTTTGATGGGGCAATGCGTAACGTCAAAATGATATGTGAAATAAAAAAGTGTACCAAATGATATCTGCTCGACTACAAATCAGTGCAACCTTATGCCTTAATATGCCATAAGGGCACAAGAGGGGAGTCTTTTCTTTCGCATTCTATGACTCGCGTGAAGATTCTGACATTTTTATATGGCCCACTGCCAATAAAGGTTGCACAGCCCTAGGCTGAAGAATAGGCATTCAACACTAAGTATCCTTCCAATACAGCAAGCATTATTTTCCCCAAACCTGGCGGCATTACGAGGATTCTCGTATGAATCTCAGAAATAAATAAGCAGGTTTCTTTTTTTTTTAAGGGTGACTGACTACAGTGGTGATGATGTCATGTTGACTCACTGTGAAAGGAGGAGTCGAAGCCATCACTAAGGGTATGCAATGCTCGCGATTCCTCCAAGTCCATGAATCCCATCTCGGGGGAAGGAATGGGACTACTGACAGTCAACGTCTCCCCTGTCAATTCTGCTGCAAGATCGGATAATTTCTCGATGCCTGATAGATCTGCATCCACATCTGGGGGAAGAAATGCACACATTAGACAGGGCATCGTTAAACCCTAAGGTTCATCCACGACGAACAATATTCTCAAAAGTCACTCAATAGCTACATTTCAGCTGCTCACTATCTCGAGAGGCCTTGGGCATGGACAGACTGGACGATGGACTTCCGGCAATCTCGACATCTGATACGGAACAACTCAGGGAATCGTCTCGTCCGGTCCTGAACCCCCTCTCTGGAACGTTCAAAATCTCTCCATACACATCCAAGCCCGAAAAACAACATTCAAAGACTATATTCAACAAGCCACCTTTGGTTCTAGAAGATTTTGGGGTGGACGTACTGGGCACTGGGCTTCCGGCAATCTCGATGTCCGACAGGGAGCGATTAAGGGAATCATTCCGCCCACTCCTGACGTCATCTGTAAAATCGGTATTAGATCCCTCGTAAAAATAAATTTCATAAGGTGACTTATTTCTGGGTTTTATGAGATTTCATGAGGATTGTTCTTGGGATTACAAGTACTTAATACCGTAAAAATTTATTGACTCGAACTGTAAGGGACCGAGCAAATCGTTTCGAGTTATTCGAAGTTCAAAAACAAAAAAAAACAACTCAGATAAAGAGACATAACCAGAGGGTAATTTCTCCGTTCTCATGAATCTAATTTCAAGTGATGGCCGAGTGAAGCGGGAATAGCATTTTCATTTGCTTTTTTTTTCATTTGCAGGAAATTTACATACTTTATATGCAAAATTCATTGATGAAAACACCCTTCAAAAACTCGTTGGTTGTATCCTTAGCTCACATGAAATTAATCATGCTCTTCATCACTCTCATTCCTGGGCCCACTCAAACGAATTTTGATAACAATGATGGAGGCCTCAATGACTGGTACCGTCACTGCGGCAACTCTTTACCCCTATATTTAAAAAAGTGCCAAGTCCCAAAAATAATTATTTTCCTTCTTCACTGCCTCAATTAGAGATAACTTCAAGTTAACCATTAGAAAATCGTTAATCAGGAATGAAAATGCGGTTCAAGATATTCGGAAATTCGAGATTAGCGAATTCTACTTAAACGGAGCATTTAACATGGTGTCCTACGGGATGCCACCAGAACAAGCATTGAACTTAGATGAACAAGAAATACATAAGAGGAATTTCGTTTCATCATGGTTGAGTTAGCGATTTTCCACTGTATTTCAAATAAGTGAAAGTATTTCTTAATACATGTATGACTCACCTAAATAGGGCGAACGGGATGATTTCACTGAAGATCTATCCGGGGAACTGAAAAAAAAAGTCTCCTGAAACGTTGTCATGCTCAGATTATTAGAAAGAGAAAACAAAACGACACAGGAAGAAAGGCAGATAAAGAGGTAGAAAAGGAAAGTGGGAGAACAGGGGACACAAAGGAAAGATACAGATATATATTTTTTCTTTTTTCCTTTTTGGTGATAAGTTGTGAAGTAGCCAAAAAGTAAGGAAGTCAATGCAGTAGCAACGACAGAGACAGAGTGGTTCCTATTAATTATTTTATCTCTTCCTTGTTTTATGACTGTTCGATAAAGAAGAGAGGGATAGACGGCAGAGAAACAGAAGGTGAAAGATCAGGGAGGCTGCTGGATATGCTGGCTGGATAGGATGCTCTAGGCGGCGCTGAGGAGGTGGGTGTTCTCGGTTATTTTTTTCCCCATGCTTCTTCCTCCCCATGTTTCGGAACAATGGGTCAGGAGTGGCTTGTATGTTGAATGAGCGAAGCCCACATCAATTTGACCTTGAGTAGGTAAAATGGGACAAATAATGTTTGCCTTGTAGGCAGTTTGGAACTGTGATGCATAGGCGGATTGGAACTGCGTATTCAGGAAGTGGTCTGGGTATCATGGGTGTAGGTGGAATGGGGCAACACGGTTCACTTGACGCTCGGTCTAAGGGAACTGGCTGCATTTTGGCCGATTCCTGCTCTTGGTGCCTGGGGGCGGACGAAAGGAAGGGAGGGAGAAGGGAAAGAAGGTTGGTGGGGGAATCGGAGCTTCGTTCGCCCCTGCTTGGCTCCACTCCTTGTATCCTTGTATATACTGCTCGAAAAAATACGGAACTCGGGAAATTCTTTAATATGAGCAGAGAATGATTTTGAGTTAGGCCTGATGATACCTACCCAGATTAATTCAGAGCGCTACGATTGGGAGAGAAAGCTTCCCAATTGTCTGGGGGGAGTGGAGTGTTATGAAATAATCAGCTGACTCCCTCCTGCTCCTTCACAAGCAGTCGTCTGAGTATAAAATAGAGAACAGACAGGAATTGGAAGTTTCTTCATTGATGCGATGGGTTTAGGGTGAGCATTTCCCCTCAAGGAATTCATGTCTAGACGAGAAGAAAAGAAGGAAAGACAGGTCACGATTTCGATGGGTCTCTTCAACGACTTATATCTCCAGCATGCTTCCATGCAGAACCTCATTCTCTTTACGAGATTATTTCTTTAAAAAAATGGCATAATACTCATGATGGTGCTACCACGGGTTCGGGATGGGGAACGGATTTTGCGAAAATCTCATCTCCTTGAACCTCGCGTTTGCCCATCCCATATCGGCTGTGAGAGACGCACCGAAAAATCTGTGGACAAGTTTTGCATAATGTCCAGTTGCTTCTCCATGCAAAAGAGGTGCTTAAATATTATCGACAGTTTTTGATCGGCATTTGAAAATCCTCCCGATAAATCGCGTGCTTTTAGTTATATAGAATTTCTGAGGATGGAATGAGATTTTACAATTTGTCAAACACATTTTTAAAAGTGGCTGTCATGGAAGGCTCTGTCCAATTATATGCGAAAATATTGGCAATTGTCTGATTTAAAGTGACTGATGCTGATGATGATGAGTATCGGAAAACAAAAACATGCAGGATTCGGTCATGTTTTCTCCTTCCTCGCTTAATACCCAAAGCTGCTTCTACGCATCATGTGTCAGAATAGCCCCATAATTTAGAAGATACTTGAATCGGTTTTCTAGGCTAACGGGTTATCAGATGCTGGGACTTCATACTCGTTGAAGTTTTTTTTCCCAACCTACGACAGCGTGAGCAGACGGATTCACGCAAATCCTCATTCTCAATCCTCATTCCCCCTTCCCCTCACCCCTCCGCTAAGCCTCTCGTGCCAGCACGCGCATGGCACCCGCCTTTATTAGGATCGATCTCATCCGAGGATTGGGCTATTGAGATTCAAGTTCGTGGTCAGATGCAAGGCGAACACTTCATCGGATACCTCGAGTTCTCGAGCTTAGAGACCTAAACGGTCTGCTGTCAAGTCCGATCGTTCCGACACGATCGAAGGATCGGACCCCTATAGCTCTATCGACGATTCAATTTCGGTTTTGGTGTCTCCGCGATTCGAATCAGGCCGACCGGTTGTGACACAGAAATAAAGACCTATGCATGTCACCGGTGGACAGACGCAGTCCAACAGACGTTGGCTAATACATGCTATCAAAGTGGATTCTGCGCAACCGTGCGTTAATTGGCCACGAACAGGGAGCTATTGTGTTCGGGAAACGATGCCACGTGCTCAACAATGGAGGTAGAGGGCTGCCTCGCTTCTCCCACCTTTTAAAGGAGTCCAACCATACTAAGCATGGATTAAATATTTGCTCATTCGATATCTTATGAAGGGTTGAAGATAGGTTTTCCCTCCTTGCAAGATTTTCTTTCCCTCGCGCCGTCTTTCCAAGCTGAGCTTCGCCAGGAGTCCTATTCTCAAGCATTCGAAGCGCAAATGGAGCCAAGGCATCTCGGGGAGAGGAAAGATGAACATGGGAAATAGTCCGCATAGAATTATATATAGCATATGAACACTACCTTTCCTCGATGTAACGGGACTTACTTTAATGTGGGCCAAACACTTTAATCTTAATGTATATCCCTTCCCATGCCGATTCCACGCATCAATCAATTAAATTCTCTTGCAGCATTGCCCAGGAGGATGAGGAAATTATTGTGCGTAAATTCTCCGAGTGTATCACTGAGGATGCTCTCAAGCCATACATGAATCCTTTGCATGATCTCCGTGAGATGCAACACAATAAAGTAATCTTTTTTTTTTCAAAGTTCCTGACAGTCGCCTCACACAATGGTAATGCTAATCTGGTTACTTCTGAACTAGAGATTTCCTATGCAATGTTCCTGCAATGCACGCGAGCCATTTAGGTACACTTTTTCTTTCAAGCAGTCCATAGAAAGTGATCGGGTACAGTTAGATCTGGGGATCTTGCGGGCCATTAAATTTTCACCCAACCAAAAATGATGTGACCATTGAAGTGTTGCTGCACGAGATGTGACCCCGTCTTGCTGAAAGGAAATGTCCTCGAAAGGAAGGCGCATACTAAGTAATTCAGGAATCAAGAACGTCTTAAGCATATGCACATAACGTTCTGCAGTGACAGCGCATGAGTGCCCTCATTCATCTTTAAAATCTACGGTCATATGACAGCACTTTTGTACACAGCACAGTATGTTCGCCTGTTAGAGACGATCCTGATTCCTGAATTACGTCGTCGGAACCTTCCTTTCAAGGACTTGAAATCTTTGAGGGGAAATGCACTTTCACCATCTCCTCCTACCCAATTCACTCAAATATTGCCTTTCAAGTGAAAACTCTTATGGGTTCTGCCCCAATTCACCTGTTTCTTCCTGTAATTTTTTTTCACAAGATTCATTCTTTTTTTCGTGTTGGGTAAGGCAACAAAATGGGTTTCGGCATGACAATATGAGGCTAGGCGACAAGAGGGGGTACCTCTCGCTTCCCAAATTATCTGTAAGCAGCCCTAACAATTTTTTTTCGGATGGTTTCATTATCATATACATTCAAGTAGGTGTTGACGCAATCTCTCAGATAGGAAAGGACAAGATTCTACGTAACTCTTCGCCTAAGGGATTCTCTCGGGATATGTATTGTCATAGCCCTGAGCCATCTCCCATTTATTTTATTTTTTTATTGATGAAAGATGATGCTATGCGTGATTCGTGTATTGCTCATTGCGCAAATTTTACCGAATGCGCGTAAAAAACGGCATGATTGCGTATTTCATGAAAAGAACAAAAACATTGCCTTTTGCGCACATTCCGCTTGCTTTTTTACGCAATAAGCAAGGGGAGTCCCGAGGAGGAAGTTTTGCGAATCAATAAGATGTACCCATTCTTCTTTCCTGTGAGACTTAAAATTTTCTCTCAGATTGTGGCATAGCTTTCGCGTGGATGCCAAGCTGGGGTTTAAACAGCTCACGGGCGTAACGAGACAGCCTGGCACCCGCCGCTCCCCTTACAATAGAGCGGCGATGAACTTATCTCAAAAAATGTTACCGTTAGTGTCACTGAATTTGATCGAGACCGAACTGATCCCCCGAGCATAACTGGGTTGGTTTCGGAAAGGAAGGACGGGAAGCACAAGAATGGAGCAAGAGATTGGGACGATCGACATACGTATGAGAAGTAACGCTTTGGAATCGGTAAAAGCGAAGATCGTAAAAATGCAAGGCATCGACACCGAGGAGAAAACCGTTGCAATAATCGTTCTCTGCCATCGTAATCTGCCATCTCAATAGGTGGGAGGCAGGGATTCAGAAAATGCCAACGTAAGACCAGGGGCGAAACCTCAAGATGCTCTTGTAGGAAAGGGGGGATTCGATATGAGAGCTCATGGCATTCTGGTACTTCCTATTACCTGCCCGAATCACAACTGAATATTGTTTGGTTGATGGTATTGTCAAATAGGCCCGGCGCGGGAAAGTGCGGGGTCGCATGTCACCAGAACGCCTGACATGACTAGCTATACGCTCTATCGAGAGGGAGGTCAGTAGGTCATTGAATCACAAGAAAGTGGTCGATGAGCTGGTGGCAAAGGTTCCAAGAATACGAACGCTTCTCCTCGAGTGCCTGCAAGCGCGAGGATTTCGTGCGGGAAGGATGGAGGAATTAAAATAAATAAATAAGAATAATTTTCATGGATTTGGACGGTGACGGATTTCGCCCAGCTCGGCCTTCTCGCCTGTCCAGTAGTAGGAAGACCTAGGAATATTCTTCGTCTCGTTCAGAGCTTGGATCTCTTTCGAATAAATTGCAGTGTTTCAACGTTTTTTCGTTTTTCGTTCTTTCTATCTTATTATTATTTATTTGTTCCTCTTGGGGCTGGGGCCCCTGGATTCTGTGTGGACCCCTTGCTGCCGCAGGGGACGCAGGGGTATTTGCATTGGTCCTGTTGTCAAATGGTCATTAATTCCTTATGACATTTCCACAAAATTGTCACTT